ATAAATAAATTTGTTTTAAAATTTATTATAAAAATTAACAGAAAATGCAATTTTTGGTCATCCAGCATTTAAGTAATTAGACTGGTAAATTACAAGGTCTGTCTCTGCTCAGCCCTCTTTCCAGCCAGGCAAAGGTATTTTCCCTGTCCTGGCCGTAATGACAATGGGTGAGGCAGAATCCTTAGGGCTCAAAAATGTCGCACAATGTCCCTCAAAACAAGGCCTGTTATGTCACTCCCAGACGGTGAACACCCCCCTAAAAGGACGCAGCATTCGGCTCTGAGGTTTTACAACCTTATTTAATAAAAGGTTTAAAGATACAGAAGAACATTCAAAAGTAAATAAGTTACATAGATACATTACAATCACATCAGCAAGATTCTTTAGTGTATTAATTTTTTATAAAAAGCACACAAAAAATAAAATCTTCCATCTGGTCTATCACAACTGTACAGCAAAAGAGGTAATATTTATATATATATTTATATATGTACACTATTTCAGTATGTAACAGTCTTTTTAAAAAAGGGTGCCACAGGCAGCAAACACACGAAAGGCAGTGTCTGATTTTTGTTTCAAAATAAAAGGAATATACTTATTTATATGCTATTAAAATATCTGTACAATAATTACAGACCATCAAGGCTGTTCCCGTGCTCCGTCCCCTCCAGCAAGGCCTTCAGCTTGGAGACGAGTAAGAAGGTGAAACAGCTGCAAACGGTTCATCAGAGGCAAAGAGTAGCACAGCCAAATGTGGGGCAGACACAACTGTATTAGAAAAATATGCATACTTCCTGTAAACCTAAGGAGTTGGGCTTGCCAGTCTGATAATAAATAACACCCCAGAAAAGTGAACCCCAGTGAAGACGCTTAGACAGCTGAGGCTTGAGTACGTGTTGCGTTCCTCTATCTTAACTTCGGGCACGTGAGAGAGGTCAGGTCACTGAGGCAGTTAATACGGGGAGTCCCTTTAGACATAAGCAGCACAAGGCCCCTTGCCAACCGTGCGGTGGGGCATCAGAGGGGAGGTGGGCGGGCACCTCAGCCAGGAGGGGTCTGCTAAAGGCATGGAGGACAGCAATGACGGCACTGTCTCCTCAGGTGGGTAAGAGGCCTCAGAAATGGTATAGACACCAGGCACTAGGGTCGGTTTCATACCTTCCAGCTGAACGCAGAGAGAGGCTGGGAGACTGACATAGTGAGACGGTGTGAGGACATTATAAAGCTGGAGCTGTTTGGAGTTCAACTTGGTAAAGCAAAGAGCTCTAACTAGGAGGGAGAAACAACAAAGGACAAGCCTAATACATTCACAGGGAGAAAGCACCGTGAAGGATACACCTACGACTGCGCTCGCTCTACTGAGCGCTCACCTGCCACAACTGTATCTCATTTTCCACACTGCACTCGAGACAGAGGCATTCTGAACATGGGCTCCCCTGAAACATGGTGTCTGAGGCGATGGTTCCAGCAGGTACCACCTTGGCTTTCCTTGGCTACATGTGCCGGGTCTGGTGTCTGTGAGCTTGTAAGAGTTAAATCACTTACTAAAAAAAAAAAAGTCCAAGTACTAGATGTTATCACTGAACAGGTAACAGATGTTATCCTGCGACTGAAGGGCTCCTGTCATCACACGTCCAGAGGGGCCTGAAACCAAGTATGAATAGAGAAAACCTGGGGAAGCGTAAGTAGCACTTTGGGGCGAAGCTGCGAAGGCACTCATAGTACACAAGTGATGAGGAGAGAGCCGACATCTGCTGCCCTCCCTGAGGGGCCACCACATTTTTGCGTCTTGGGACTAGGACCTAATAGAAGCCTATGGAAAAAACCAATGGGGAAGCAGGAGATCTGAGTAGCTGTCTACAAATCCGGGGGGAGAATTTTGTTACCTTTGTAACGGGGGTCTTACCGAACCCTACTAATGCATAAACTCATAGTGCATAGTTTAAATCAAAACTCCCCTCCATGCCGCTGCTGACGTGACGTCTTTCGGCCATCTCCTAGGCGGCAGCAGGATGAAGCCTGGCTGCCTCACACGCTGGCCTGGCAGACACACATTCACTGAGAACTTCCTGTGCACAGCTACATGACAGGAACGGCATCAGGAAAGTAACCCAGGCTTCCCAGGAGGCTGGCAAGCGAGGGGAGGGGCCTCCGGAAACTTCTGGCCGCGCCACTCCGGGGTCCCATGCCAAATATGGCTTCTTCAGGCTGGAATGCAGGCCTGGTAAACAAAGCTACAGTCCCAGCCTTCTGCCAACTCCCTCAGGCACTTTCAAAGGGGAGCAGCAGAAACCGCCTCTGACCTCCCTCCTGCTAGTCTCTGCGTGGCTTTGGGGACACCTCCACCCTCCCAGCCTCTTAGTGCTGCTGTCGGTCCCACGGGCGACCAGAATTTCCAGAGCAACAGCGGGAGGGACCCTAGGGCCTGGGGAGCTGGGGGTGTCAAGAAGGTGCCTTGTTTTGGGATAAATGCACTTGGGCCTCTGGAAAGCCGGAGGCCCCTGGTCCCTGAGAGGATGTTGAAAATTAAATATTAAGAATAAATAAATAGCTCCCAAATGCCACGAGTCAAAGAATGGAGGCTCCTGTCCCATCTAGTCGGGAGACCTCCTCCTCTCCCAGGGAAGGACCCAGAAATCTCCAGCGCAGTGGGGGGTGCGGAGCTTTGGGGATCAAAGAGGGTGGGGCTGGGGGTGAAGCGGCAGCTACGCGGGCCGGACAGAGGCAAGCCGGGAGCCGGCAGCAGCCTGAGCCCCGCTGGAGGCTAAGCTCCCTTAGCGGCCTCCAGGGCCCAAGCTATTCGGCAGAAAGGTGGGTGGGAAGCAGGGGGCTCGTCAGCAGCTCCCGCCGGCCCAGCCTGGCTTCTGGCTTCCGCTCGCAGCCTCCCTGCGTCCCTCCCCGGCCGGGCAGGCGGAGGGCAAGGCCGGGGCAGCGGCCCCCTCCCAGCAGCGGAGCACACCGTGCACCAGCACCCGCCCCAGCCAGCA